GACGTCAGTTCCAAAGGTTGTGACGACGCGATGCCTCAGGACATGACCGCCCAGGCAGAAAGGGTGGCTTTTGCGGGGGTGCGCTGTAGCAAACCGCCCCCTGAAGATCTGCCAAATAACTGGGAAGAATCAGATGAAGAGGAAGAAGAAACTACGAGATTACTGAACAGGGTGATGCGCGCCATTCAGCGGTTGGAACAAGAACGGCCTGATTTAGTCGAGGAAGTGAAGCAGGATGCGCAACAGACCTTGGGTTCTAAGCCGCTTCCTAGAACAGTGGTTAGTCATTCTTTAAAGTTCTAAGTCACTCTGTCTTTAAAGTTCAAAATACTTCTTGGAGCGATTGTTAGTCATTTTTAAAGTTCTAAACGTTCTAAGAACAATGGATAGCAATTCTTCCAAGTCTCAATTAACTTCTTAGATAGATGGTTAGTATTTCTTTTGAGTTCTAAGCCACTTTATAGAACAATGTTTAGTGATAATTGTAATTCTTAGTCACTTCTTAGATAAATGGTTAGTAATTCTTCTGAGTTCTAAGTCACTTTTCCTAGAGCAGTGGTTAGTCATTCTTTTGATTTCTAAGCCACTCTTTAGAGCAGTGATTAGTAAGTCTTAAAAGTTCTGAGTTACATCCTAGAGCAATGGTTAGCAGTCTTTTTAAGTTCTAAATCACTTCAAAGTGCAATGGCTAGTCATTCTTTTAATTTCTAAGTCACTTCCTAGAGTAATGGTTAGCAAGTCTCTTGGATTTAAGCCATTTTCTAGAGCAATGGTTAGTAATTCTTATAAGTTCTAAGGCATTTTCTAGAGCAGTGGTTAGTCATTCTTGTGAGTTCTAAGTCTATCTCTCGAGAAATGGTTAGCGGTTCTAAGTTCTAAATCACTTCGTAGGGCAACGGCTTGTAATTCTTTTATTTGATTAATTATTTCTCATTAACAGATAATTTAGAATATATTTCACCTAAAATATTCCAAAACTATTATCAAATGTTATAACAATTAAAAAAAATATATATTCACATTCATTCACAAAAATAGATATTCACATTCATTCACAAAAATATATATTCATATTCATTCACAAAAATATATATTCATATTCATATTCATGACCCCCGGCCTCTCTCCTCCAGCAGCTCCGAGGACAAGACGGCCGTCCAAGAAACGAGGGAAGAAAGAGAGAAGAAAATCGTCTTTTGCCGAGAGACTGAAGGAGGCGCTGGCGAGAGAGCCAAGCCTGGACTCGTGTCAGACTCATGAAAATATTCCAAATGAGGAAGATGACCCGCTGATGAAGTGAGTTTGTGTATAATTGATTCTTTTTCTTCATTTGGTTTATATGTATGGAGATATGTTATAAAATATAAATGTACATCTATCTGTCTATCTACCTACTTATCTCTCTATATATTTATCTATTTATCTCTCTCTATATATATATTAAACAAAATAAAATGTGTATAAAATGTGTAGAAATGTATAAAGAAAAAAAATCCGTAAATTCCTGATGCATTCCTAACACCTAATATAAACAACTTAATCTCTTTAATCACACAGAATATCAAGACAGGAATCTGCAGGATTTGTCCTCGACGCTAGCCCTCGCCGTCGACTCCTTCGGAAGACAGAAAAAGAGGAGGAAAAATACGGCTCTGACATCTCCGAGGAAGATTTCGATGATCAAGGAGAGGAAGAGGTTCAGGGCAGAGGACGCGAGGGATCGGATTCCTCTCGTTACTCCTTCAGTTCGGATTATACGTCCGGTATTTACATCGTCTATTTTCTTTTGAAGAGGGTATACGGGTGTAAAAAAAAATGGAATATGTGTAGTTTTTTTCTTTACAGGATAAAAGAATCTTAAATAAGAAACTGGAATAATTACTATTTCTCTCTTAAACAGAACTGGAAGATGTTTATGAAAAGCTAGGGGAAGTACTGGAGGAGTCTGAAGGGGGAAACCTTGGCCCTCGCACAGCAGCCATCGCGCGATTTGCTCATGGTCTACTTAAGGTGTGGATGCGTTTGAAATGCTCTAGATGTTTATATGTGTATGGATATATATATATATATCTATATATATATATATATCTATATATATATATATAGATATATATATATATATATATCTATATATATATATATAGATATATATATATATAGATATATATATATATATATATCTATATATATATATATATATATCTATATATATATATATATTTATCTATTTATTTCTCTCTATATATATATTAAACAAAATAAAATGTGTATAAAATGTGTAGAAATGTATAAAGAAAAAAAATCCGTAAATTCCTGATGCATTCCTAACACCTAATATAAACAACTTAATCTCTTTAATCACACAGAATATCAAGACAGGAATCTGCAGGATTTGTCCTCGACGCTAGCCCTCGCCGTCGACTCCTTCGGAAGACAGAAAAAGAGGAGGAAAAATACGGCTCTGACATCTCCGAGGAAGATTTCGATGATCAAGGAGAGGAAGAGGTTCAGGGCAGAGGACGCGAGGGATCGGATTCCTCTCGTTACTCCTTCAGTTCGGATTATACGTCCGGTATTTACATCGTCTATTTTCTTTTGAAGAGGGTATACGGGTGTAAAAAAAAATGGAATATGTGTAGTTTTTTTCTTTACAGGATAAAAGAATCTTAAATAAGAAACTGGAATAATTACTATTTCTCTCTTAAACAGAACTGGAAGATGTTTATGAAAAGCTAGGGGAAGTACTGGAGGAGTCTGAAGGGGGAAACCTTGGCCCTCGCACAGCAGCCATCGCGCGATTTGCTCATGGTCTACTTAAGGTGTGGATGCGTTTGAAATGCTCTAGATGTTTATATGTGTATGGATATATATATATATATATATATATATATATATATATATATATATATATATATATATATATATATATATATATATCTATATATATATATATATATATATATATATATATATATATATATATATATATATATATATATATATATATATATATATATATATGTATATATGTACACACACGTATAAACATATACATATACATACATACATACATACATATACGTATACATACATATACATTCTTATGCATACACACGCATACACATACTTATTTATTCATATACATTCATATGCATATTTACGCATACACACACACATACACAGACACAGACACAGACACACACACACAGACACAGACACACACACACACACAGACACACACAGACACAGACACAGACGCACACACACACACACACACACACACACACACACACACACACACACACACACACACACACACACACACACACACACACACACACACACACACACTCACACTGACATACATATATGAATATATCTCTTTATTTATCACTTGCATGTTCTCTCCAGTCTCTAGTCTCTTAATTATTCTGAGTATGGATAACATAGTAGAGGAAATGGAGTTCACATAAATTTACATACAAACAGGCGAGGCAATATAGAAAATAAAATAAAATACTACCTTCACTATCTAAACATATGGCCTTCATAGATTTTTATACTAATATATATATATATATATATATATATATATATATATATATATATATATATATTTTATAATTTCCTTTCAAAAGCGTGCCCTTAGTGAATCCTACAAAGACGTGACTCTTGGGTTGGACGGGTCGGCTGTGAAGGACCCTGAGAGTGGCACGAGTGGCCCTTTACCCATACGATCCCTTAGCTTCTCCGAGCCTCGTCCTCCAGCTGGCAAGACAGTTCGACCTCCGACGCTAAATACGCTGAAGGTATACAGATAGCTCGTGTTCGTGTGGTTTTGTTATTTGTTTGAAGATTGGATTTGTGTAGGTTGGTATGGGGTTATATGTGTTGCCAGATTGTAAGGGATTAGTTTGTTGTAATGTTTTCTATTTGTTGGTGTATAAAAGTTTTCAGGTGTTGCTGCATTGTTTTTAGTCTTGAGTCAGTGTTATATTGTCATTTATTACTTACTGATTTTCAGTGATTGTTATGTGCCCTCAACATTATTATTTTATAACCCATTCATATGATCATAAGTTTGATAGTCTTATTACAGTATGTTAAAGTATCCGGGAGAGTAGAGGTTTCACCATACTTTCACTGAAGATCTTATCTGAATTATTGGTCATGCTATAAACCTGTCCACATATTACTGACAAGAATATCTTTATGACAGAGTAATCTCGGGAAACCTGTTGTTACGGGGAACTGGGGTTGTGGCTCCCTTAGAGGCGATCACCAACTGAAAGGTCAGGCGAGCATTGGTTGTTAAAGTTCATTAGTGTCTGTGTTGTTCTCTTCCACTGAGATTAAAAAAAAAAAAAAACATGTAGGGATCGTGTTTGAATCATAATTATAGTTATTTTTTCAATTCATAAAAGTAATAACCACTTTTAGTATTATATGGTCTTGTAAAGCAAGTAATTGAAAGCAGATGAATGGCATTTAATATTACCAGGACTAATAGACATGTTTTATATCAGCTATGATTCAGTGGGCGGCTGCCAGCAAGGCCCGGGCACCAAAGATGGTATATTACACATATGGTGACCAGAATACTGTAAAGGTATGTATCAATGTACATGCAGTTAGGTATATTTATTGTAAGTAATATTTTACATATACTCCTCACTCATTTAACTGTAATAACATAACAAGACTGATATCCTGTTGAATAATTAATTTTATGAGCATATGATCTTAGAATGATAATAATATTCATCAGGACAGTAACAGCATTAGCTAAAAAAAGAGAATATAAAACAACATTTCCCAAGAGTGTCCTTGTATTGCTTTCAGTTGGATATAGTCTGTCGGTTGTTAGGGGACCGAGGCTGGCGTGTTGGAGACCTAGTGTCCACGTTGCTTCGGTATAGTGAATCACGTCTCGATTCTTGGAGACGATCAAGGGAAACAGAACTTACGGAATCTGCTGATTCTTCACTGCCAGAATCCCTTAGGTGAGGTATTCCATTGTGAAATAATCGTGTGCAGGTTTGGCCCTATGGTTTGGTTATATTGTTATATTGTGGTATTTTTGTGATGAGATAATTAGACATTTCCTTTTAATTTTCTTAGTTGACAGGTACAGTGGACTTTCTTTGGACTTTCCAACTCGAATCATTATTGACTTTTAGTTTACTGTATTAATGTGTGTGAGAGATAAAGTGACAGCCAGGCATTTCATTTGATCGTTTTCTTAATTGCCAGATACAGAGGACCATCGTTGGACTCCCTCACCCTCTTTGATGAATTAATAGGAGCAGACCGTCCATTCACCACGATGGAGACGGAACTATGATCCAGTTGTCAGACTCTAACAACACACAGCTCCTGTTGCGCCTTCTTTGCTAAACAGTTAACTCCATATCAGTTGTTCACACTGTATAAAAAAACAGAGATAGAATTTTAGGTTTTGAAATTGTTGATGGTGATGTCAAAGATACATCTTGAGGAAGTCTAGAGGTTTTTAATCCAAAAGGAAATTTGACTTATCTGCTATGTCGATAAACTTACCTACCATATGGTGTGCTCGTACCAATAGAGAAGGAATATTTACACCTCTTCTTTTCATAGCATTGTGTGACTTCAGTATGTATCTAAAGAGTTTACACATATAACTGTTTTGGCATTGTGTCATGAATTTATGATCTGCGAACGGGTGATATACCCAATCATTTCTCGTCCTTGTTGTGTTTTCTGTCTTCCTTCAATAGGCTTTCTCATGAATATGTATTTAAAAGTCAGTGGTGAGTGAACAGAATATTAGCCAATTTTTACCGTGTGATGGTTTATATAGATACAGGACATGTTTGTTTCTTTTATCCTTCTTATACAGTGTCTATAAATGGCACTGTTTATGGTGCACCGTTATTCACATGACTGAATAATCATACCTAATTCGATCTTGAGTGATATTAAACATACTGTAGTGTTTTAGCTGAATGTCATGCAGAATTTCCTATCATATAAATAAAAGATATTTAAAACACTCTGAAGCTTCCAAGGGGAAAATATACACAGAAATTACATATGCACAGAAATTGCATTTTTTGTGAAAATATGTGTGTGTTCATGCGCGCGCGCGAGTGTGCATACATCCACATATATTGTCAAATGCAGCAGTAAAAATAATGACATTCATCACAATGGTCATGACTGCAGAATCAACATCTTTATTGCTGAAGAATTATAAATGTAAAACGACAAGCTTGCAGTCGCAATCACAAAGGAAAATTAGTGAAAATAACTGAAAATTACAATCGCAAGAATTGTTATTTTGTTTCGTCTTCCCATGTAAATGACTAAGGGATTTATGATGCCTCGTACTGCACGTTTGCACAACAGAACTTCAAGAAAGTTTATCGTAAGATGATTTACATGGATTATCTCTATATTTCAAAAAGAAAACAAGGACAATAATATAAAGGCGAGAGAGGAAACAAAAACAGCAAGACTCCAGCTTGGTCCTTCGATCCACATGTGTTGTTTTCTTCAGGATCCAAAGAGGAAGATTTCGTGTCTATTTTAAAGATAAAGACAAATTCACAACCTTAGTGAAAGAGCTAATGTTAGAGCCACATCAGGGGTTTGCTTATTAATGACATTTACATCTAGCTTTGTGATCTCTTGAAATTAGTATGTTTGTTTCTCAGAAATAAATGAAAGCCAACGTATTTTTGCATGCCGGTTTCTCTCTGTCTCTCTCTGTCTCTCTCTCTGTCTCTGTCTCTGTCTCTCTCTCTCTCTCTCTCTCTCTCTCTCTCTCTCTCTCTCTCTCTCTCTCTCTCTCTCTCTCTCTCTCTCTCTCTCTCTCTCTCTCTCTTTCAATTGCACACCACAATGAAACCCTCGTAAAAAAAAAATATATAAATAAAATCAAGCGCAAGAAATAAAATACATCTTTAATAAGATAACCAAAGAAGCAAAACTCTTCTCTCCGTGTGTCTTTTCTATCTGGTCACGTGATTTCCCGATACCAACATGGGTGTCTCTGGAAGTTCTGTACAAGACACAATGCAGTTAGAACTTCCTCGGGTTTCCACAAACACGGGTTTAACAGACTTATTTTGTTTAGCGTTTGATATATTGCAAGAAGTAAATGGATACTGCATGTGCATTTAGAATAAAAAAACATTGATCAGCATAATAAACTAGTAAGATTTTAGAACCACCGCACACACTAAAAAATACACGTTGGAACTCGAACGAAGAAAAACATATAATGAAAGAAGTACATTGAACATCATCAATATCTTCCAATACGAATTAATATTACTGAAAACGAACACTGAAAATTACGCACTGGCTTACCCCCCCCCCCCCTCCCTTGCCCGTTGTTGTCGTTGTTGGCTTACCATGGCTAATAATGAAGATGATTTACCGTTATTAAGGACGATGAGGCTTGCCCCTTCATCAAATAGCCCCACCAATTCAAAATCTCCCGATTCCCTGACCCCGGCCTCTCCTTTGACTACGGCTCAGAACACTACAACTACTACCCCCTCCTCAATGCTTATTAGTACATTAACCCAATCCACTCAATCTCCAGGAGACATTCCTACTCTCCCATCATGCTCAGCTTCAACACCTCTACCCCCACAACCTTCTTCATCAACTACCCCATACTCCCTTATTACTACTTTACAGTCTTATTGTTCACCTCTGCATAATACTACCTCCCTCAATACTACACCCTCTTCCACACACACCCGTCCTTCTACCACCCCCATCTTTACAAACATCTTAAACACTCTTAAATACCCAGCCAAATGGGACCGATTTTTTCGTGATCCCTTCCACATCTCCCTACTCTGACAACACTCTTCCCTTTCAGGAATGTCTCCTAAAACAAGTAGGCAAAGTCTCTTTCCATAGCCGACCTGGTCATTCCCGTCAGAGTAACATCTGAAAACCAAGCTATAGCATTATCAACTCTAACTGACCTCTCTGGTAACCCCATTTCTGCAGGACCTCATCCTCGATCAAAGTGCTCTGCACAGTCACGCACATGTGCCGACTATGGCGGCCCTCATAATAATACAAATTTGAGTCAGAGGTAGCAACTCTCAGATTCAGACTTGATCTCACGTCGACGAGTTTTTTCTCTGCCCTTCCCCCTCCCTCCGAAGACGTTCTTACACCCTTCCCTAAAACACCCCTACATCTACCTACATCCACTTCTACCTCCTGCCTTCACTAGTCAAATTCTTTCGCCATTCTAAATCCAGACACTTCAATCTCTACTGCAGCCCTAACACCTTCCCCTCTCCCTCCCCGTACTACCCACAGCAGACAGACTAAATGTTCCACCCCTTCTTCTCCTACCACACACTCACCTCCACCAACCTTTGTCTCTACTCCTCAGACACCAGTCTCCTCTCCCCCCTCCCCTCATAAGTAAACCTTTGTCTCAAAAAACTTCCCAACCAACTCCATTACAGATACTGTAGAAGATATTCAAAACTATCTCCTCGAATCCCAAACTGACACCGAAACCCTTCACCCACTCTCGAATTCCACAACTCCCGCTCCCTCCACACTCAAAGTGACTGCCGATATCCATCCTCCTCCTACTCGTATTCGCTTGATCTAACCCCTTTACATAACTCGACCTTAATCCCCATTCACTCGTCAACTCCTTTGCCCAGCTTTAACCTTTTCAATACTAATCTAGATAGCTGACGTATAGCAACTAACCACTGACTCAACCACCCTTCACTAACCTTTACTGTACCTTCCTATAGTGCTATTGACCTTAGATGTCTAGCACATTTATTTTGCTTTTAACTTAGCCACTAGTTTGCGCAAAGCTTTTCCATACGTGTACGTTCGAAACTGATATTTTTCTATGACATGATATTCAAGTAATGTAACTGACTGTAATAAGGATGCCCATCAGTGGTTGAATGTCGGAAGAGCTGAATAAAACTATTATATCTTCTATACCTTCTATAAAACTAAAATTATACCCTCTATAAAAAAAAAAAAATCTATAAAGTTAAATAAAGTAATGATATCTTCTATACCTGCCTGGCAAGAAATGCTTTTAGTGTTTTATTTTTCATCTTTATTATCATTATTACCCTTTTAGTTTTACTTCATTGCAAATTGGAAGGAGAGTAGACACGAAGATTGTTAAGAAAAAGAAAACAGAAATGTTAATAGTAACATGACTCACAGCTTACAAATTAATTACAAATTAATTAATGTAACGAAGCTTTTTTTCCATAAAGAAGATTCCGACTTAATCTAAAAAAAAATTGGCATGAACCAATTTTTTTCGAAATTGAGCTCTATTGTACCAGTTGTTCAGAGGCAAATCCTTTTTCTTATTGCCAGTTGCGGAGTAAATCCATTATTCATTATTTCCATTAGGGTGGTTTTACAAAATAATAACCTACAAAATCACAATCTATTAACTTATTACAAATTCACAAAATATTAACTAAGTACAAACTTATGACAAATATCAGCACGTAAATGTCAATTGATATATCTTTTATGATTTACATTCATATCACCATTTTTTTCTTTTTTCTTTCTTAATTCTCTTCATTGCTAACCTAAGCAAATAATCATCGCAATAACTTACGGATTAAGTGTTTTTTTTTCTTGCAAAAATATGCTCCATGTGTAACTATATACATTCTCTACAAACTTTTAAATCTTAACAGGTTCATGTTCGATGAATCTAACCTCAACAAATACTTCTACCGACTCTGAATTCAAACACATGATGGCGTCCTTTCGTTAATCACCTAAATCAACCTAAATCAACCTACACCTACGTTAATCAGAACAGTGAACTCTGCCTTCTGGTTATCAACACAAAATACATTAAGTGCAATCTATCACCCATTACTTTCTGCTTTATCACGACGTTCCCACCCGGTGCTGATAGTGATGATGGACGCAGAGATTAAATACATTAAAAATATTAAAAGTTTGGTTTGAA